GTTCAAGTCTTTACTTTGGTGATGCACACAGAGCAAAAAAAAACAACCCAAATATGGCTGCACCATTATGATCTTTTCATTAACTTACCACACAGGAACATTGTGACTCACTGGGAACCGTTCTTTAAAAACATCAGTTCAGTGTTCAGCAGCAATCCAAAAGGCAAAAAAAAGTGTTAAGAATTATAAGGAAAGGAATTGTAATCAAAACAGTATGATCTTTTATATATTTGTGGTGTGTCCATACCTTGAATGCTGTGTGTGGTTTTGGTCCATATAATTTAAAAAGGAGATTGAGGCCCTAGAAAAGGTATAGAGAAAGGCAACAAGGATGATTAGGGATACCATATGAGGAGGAACTAAATAGTGCTAGGACTGTTCAAATAGACAAGTTTGTAGAGAGGTGTTTGAGGGAGGACATGATAGCGTTTTACAAAATAATGAATGATGCAGAAAAAGTAGGGATTTATTACTTACGATATCTCCCAGTACTAGAACTAAGAAACACCAAATGAAACTATTTGGTTGAAGGTCTAAAACTAACACAAGGAAGTTCTTTTTCATATAGCGTGTAATTAACTTGTGCAACTCCTTGCCACAAGACACTGTGGAGGCTGATAATTTAACCCAGCTTAAAAGGGGATTGGAGAAATTCCAGGTGGAAAGTTCTGTCAGTAGGTCCCAGACATGGTAGGTAGGACACAGCCACTTAGTCAGAGTTTCCTGAACCTCTGAACACTCAAAGCTGCACTGAAAGAGAAGCACAAAGTCGAAAAGTCTGGACATACTCTGTTCACCCTCCCTCTTAGCATCCATTCTGCGTGAGGCAGGTTGCTGGACAAGATGGACTGACCTATGACCTGACCCAATAAATAGCCAATATTACTTTCTTAGCCATATAAGTGTGAGCAACCATGTTTCAACAGGAAAAATCCTATAGCCTTTATTTGGTCTTTAGTCATCCTTGCTCAAGCAAACTCTTTGTGAAGCCTGTGGGAGCTTTGCCTGAGAGAGACATTCAGGATCCAAAATTCCTCTGAGGAAGCGGGATCCCGCAACATACATCAGTGTCATTGGCACCTCATGGCACTCAGCACTTGAGAGGATCAGTCCCTTTGCATTTGCACCACTAGGAGCCTCTTTGTTATAAGCTGGGGGGGCAGGTATCACTTTGGGGGTGTCTCACTATAAGGACATACAGCTCTTTGGAACAATGCTGCTGGTTTCATGCTTGGCCTGTGGGCTGGCAATAGGGCTGGCAACAGTTAACAACCTTTTTGATCTTCCAGTTCCAGTTATACCTGGAGATAGGCATTACCAGATGCTGTATATTCCTATCTGCATGAGATTCCCTATTATCTCCCTTAAGGGAGAACCTGCAGGTTCTTGAAGGTCTCTTTGGCAATGGGGAGAGACCACAGAAGGGGAATCAGACTGCATGGCTTTGCCATGCAGTCTGACAGACAGCCACTTGCTGAGGGAGGATGGACTACTAAGGACAGCAGGCCTGAACCCTGGGGAGAGTGCCTGACTGAGCAAATGAAGGAGGAGATTCAGCTCTGCGCTATACTGATGCAAACCCAGTATGACTCTGATTCCTCTGTAAATTCATTATGGAGTGACTTTGTGTTGGTACTGCTGGAACTGAGATCAGCATCTGGCCCAGAAAGGATGACTAGCTTCTGTCCTTGAGTAGCCTTTTCTAGGAGGAGTTGACATAGTTTTCACCTATGAAAATCAATTTTCTTCTCTGTCCTCCTTTAATCTTGGGTCTCCCTGCAAAGTGGTATTAAGGTCAGCACTGCAGGTTTCCATGTGTTTTGTCATTCAGGGTATGTCTGCACTGCACAGTCAGCTGAAGCTCTTATCTGGGTTTTAGCCTTAGCCACACTATTATCCACATAGAAAGCCTCTGACATGGGTTTGGAGTTGTTTGTATAGCTGGGGGTGTGGATTAGAAATCCAGTTCTGGTTTAAGTGGGGCTAGCAGGTAAAAAGGATGCTGGCAAAAATCAGATGCATGCTCTCAGTCATCCACTGTCTTTCCCACAATTGCCCTGAAAGATAGAGAAGATTTTACATAAGTAATGTCAATAGCTGGGAAAGAATCCTAGACCATGCAGAAACAGGGAGGAGGAGAGCTTCAATTCAAGCAAATAGCAGTCTTTGCAAAGAGGATTATCAACAGGGTTCTGCTGAAGACTTGGGGCCTACGTGCAGCCTGGGTGTCCATGGCATTGAGGGCATCCATTCTGCCAGGGGAAATGATTAGCTGACTGGCATCCCAGAGCACAAGGTAATGAAATGGGGTCCAGGAGAAGCTCTGGACCCTGAACAAAGAGGTTTTCCCAGATAAGGGCAGGGGTCCCTGATGATGTGAGTGAACCCCAGTCCCTGGGGGCTTCCAGGCATTTTCTAGGTCAATTTATGTCTTCCTCCACTTGTTTGCAGATGAGTCAATGACAGGATCCTCATTGCTGGTTGAGACCATGGCTTACATCCTCCTAGCTCACCTATCCCAACCAGAGGTGACAGCCAGTGACATCACAAAATTCTCCCCAATTCTGCATCAGCTCAACCAAAGGTGCAACTCCTTTGGGGGGTTTTATTCCACTCAGGTAACAACACCGCTCCCTCTGAATGTGTAGGGGAAAGGAAGAGAGACACTGAGCAACTGGAGAGTTGCTGGGGAGTTATCCCTTACAGACAAATTTCTCTAGGGAGGGATATATAACTCCTGCTGGTGATTGAAGATGGGAGTGAGTCTCTTAGTGTGCAAACAGACATTGCCCTTGTGCCATCCCTGCCCTTTGGCATGCTCCAATTGCCCAAAAATGTTTATGCAACCAAACCCAGTCACAGCTTGTGATGCCTTATAGGCAAGGATCTTTGTTCTCTCATTGTGCAACCCAGAAATTCCCCTGCAGGGGATTCCCAGAGGGTGCCTTTTATACTGCTGTGCCTTGAAACCATGGGGTTTGCCCTGCATGCAGGGGATTTCTGCAGGGGGGCTTCTGGGGCATGTATTTATGCTGCCATGCCAGACCCTGAAGAGGGATGCCTGGGGCATGTGTCTGCAAGCAGGGGAACGTCCATGCTGAGGTTTTGCACAGGCATGCCCTGTGTCAGGATATGAAACAATGAAACATGTGCCTCAGGTTGAGGCACAGCACCCAGGGCTGTTACCCTGTACAATTGGGCACCTGAAGTCCCAGGAGTGGCAAGGCTCGCACCCTGTGGGACAACAGGACACATCCAAGAACAGCTGATGTTGCAACAAAAATAATGTCTGTTTGTAGCCTTAGGGAACTCGTGGTGATTTATGATATAAACCTGTACCCACAGCCAGGAGTGCAAGTTTTAGCAGTATCAAGATGTGGTATGGGTCAAGGCTGCAGTCCTGATACTTATGTCCTAGGCAGTGCAGACCCTGCCTGCTTGTGAACCTTGTTACTGGTGCCACAAGGGGCATGGGCCCCTCCAGGCTCTCCAACTTATGGGGAAATGCTGAAGCTGGGAGCCCACATCCCAGAGACCTGTTGCTCCAAAGCAAAGAGGTGGTGCACATACACAATGAGCTGACTTTGCCTCTTTCTCCAGGACACAGTTGTTGGCCTCCAAGCTCTGATTAAATATGCAGGCCTGACTTACCGTGAGGCAGGGAACACAAAGGTGATGGTGAGATCCAAAGAGGCCCTCCTGCTGGAGTTTCATGTGGATGGGAAGAACCAGCTGGTGCTACAGCAGGCACCTCTCCTTGGCATCCCAGGGGTGTACACAGTGCAGGTGGCTGGGAGTGGCTGTGTGTATGTGCAGGTAAGTGAGGGCCACCAGGGATATGGTCCCATGGAGTCCAAAGGCATTTTGCCAGTGACTTCTGTGGGAGCACGATTTTCTCCCAAGCCTGGTGCGAACTATAATTAATTTACTCCATAAACCATGGGAGGCTCTAGCCTACCCACATGACATGGCTTAGAATGGGCTGAGTGTATCTACAGAAGAGGATTTTCCTTTCAAGAGCATGTGCCAGCTCTGCTGGCTTAACCACAATGGTCATGCTGCAGTCATGCCTTCTGGGAGAACTTGAGCAGCAATTTTATTAATAGGGTCTATGATTTTAAGGCCCAAAAGGCCATTAGGGTGGGCCAGATAGAATGGGCTAACAGGCTGCATTCAGCCCACAGGCTGTGTTTTGCCCACCCCTGATCTTAGAAGCATCTAGAGCAGGGGCTCTTAACCTTTTTTGTGCCATGGACCCCTTTGGCAGTCTGGTGAAGCCTATGGACCCCTTCTCAGAATAATGTTTTTAAATGCATAAAATAAAATACATAGGATTACAAAGGAAACCAATCATATTGAAATACAGTTATCAAAATACATTCATTTTGCCTACATTCGTAATTGAAGGAAATGCTAAATTTCAGTTAAAGGTTAGTGAAAATAAAGATGTAATTTTTTTCCCATCCAAGTTCACAGCCCCCTGAAATCTATCCACAGACCCCTTGGGGGTCCGTGGACCCCAGGTTAAGAACCCCTGATCTAGAGACTATCTGAAGACTGTGCCACTCCCTGGCTCATTAACTAATTCAGCCCAAAGCACCAGGCACAAAGGAGGAACCATAAGGTCTAAGTCATCCCTGGTGAAGTTGCATTGAAGCCAAAGGACTTGCAATAGGGAGGAGTTTGAGCCCACATGAAAACCATATGACAGAAAGACAAGGACACGACCACAAATGGAATCAGCCATTAAGACAGTTACAAACTGGGTAAAGCTGAGGTCAGCCACGTATGACCCATGGGCTGGATTTGGCTTACAGAGCCCCTAGATGTAGCCCACAGAGCCCAAAGGCTTTGCCCATGCTCAAGTCCACATTGGCACCTGCACCAGAACTAAGCAGTGAGGAGGTGTGCCAGAACCAGGCAACTTCCAGCTACAGCCTTGCTGCCACTGCTTTTTCCCTCCATACCCTAACCTCCCCTCGGCTGCATGATGGGCACAGCTTCCAGCCAGTGATGAGTTGTGCCAGGGCCAGGAAGATAGACACTGCGTCCATGTTGCTGCCACTTCTTCCTCTTCCTTATGCCCCTTCTCTCTAGCTTCTCAGCTGTAGTGCAGAAGTAGCTGCAGTGTGGACACAGCTTCCACCTGCCCAGCCCTGGCACAGCTCCCACCAGCTGGAAGCTGCACCCACACCCCAGCCAGGAAGTGAGAGGCTGGGGGAAATGGTGCAGGTGCAGTTCCCAGTTGTGTGGGAGCAGAGAAAATCTCCCACTGCTGATACACTGCAGAAACCACCCAGCCTACGTCAGACTGGAGCTAATTTGTTCCAGCCTGTGTCTTGAAAAGGTTACCAGCTGCCAGGTTAGACGGATGTGGTGTAGCTGGGGCCTTTGTTTATGCAGGGAACCCCCACAAGATTATATAGACATATTCCCCCCACCTTCTCCCCCAGCAGACAACTCTGAGCTACAATGTCCCAGCCCATAAGAGTGAGGCAGTCTTTGTCCTGCATGTGGAGACAGCACCGGTGGAGGGCAACGATGCTGCTAGGAAGCACTTTGACCACCAAGTGGCAGTCAGGTATGGGACCAATTCTTCTCTCTGTACCAGAGCCAGTGACCACTGACATGGTCCCGCTGAACAGCTGCACAGTGGAGTTCCCTGACTGCAGGGACCAGGAGGGAGCAACAGGCCTTTTCCTATCCCCCATCTGCCCATGCTCCCAGGCCAAGGAAGCCTGTGGAATAGGTCCAGAACAGGGAGTGAGGGGACAGCTAAAGGGACCAGGGGGAAGGTTTCCATTTAGAAGATAAGCTTGTAACAAGCTCCAGGATCTCAAATGAGTGCCCCAGTGATCTCTCTTGGGGTGTGGACCAACATCATATTTGAAGCCCTTCACATGCCTCTGAAGCAGTTTCCAGATAGATGAACATGCCCTTTGAAATGCTCCAAAAACATGTGAAGTGCTGCAGAAATGAACCTGTTGGAATGAGGTACTATTTAGAAGTACTTCAAAATGAAGAGCACCCTGTTATGCATGGACATGCTATGGAGGGTGACAGAGGGCCCCTGGGTGTTCTGGCTTCCCAGTCCTCTGCTCTTCCCCCTCCCCACAGTGGTTGGAAACTGGGGGAGACCCAGTCAGGGAGCACTGTCCTGTGCACTCTGCCTCCATTGTCCTGAAGTGCCTCTGAAACTGGAGCTGGGATTCCTCAAAACTGGGAGACCAGAGACCCCGCACAGAACTGGAGGAAACTGCACTCCCACACTAAAACCAGGATTTCTGCTCTCTGGGGGCTTCCTGCCCTTTCTCCCTTTGGGCTGAGGGGATGTTGAGTTTTGCATATCAGTGTGGGAGCCAGCAAACATTTGCTACAGCTCCCCCCATAGCAAATTTACCACATTCACTCATGGGTTGCAAGAAGTATCCTCTGCTTGCTTAGAGTGCTGAGGTGGGTGCCATGCCCACTGCTTTTTCTCTTCCTCTAGCTACACTGGGGACCGTGGGAGCAGCAACATGGCCCTGATAGAAGTGAAGATGCTGTCAGGCTTCATCCCTGTGAAGAGCTTGGTGAAAGCAGTAAACAGCTCCCCTCCCACCTGCCCTTCCCTGGCTGTAAGGGACTCCATATTTTAGGTGTGGTTCAGTTAGAGACCCCCACAAACCCACCAGCACTTCCTTGCAAAGAGAATCCCATTCCATGAAACTCCAAGTGCTGTGAAGATATACACTAAGGGTGTTTACACACATGCTCTGGGAGTGGGATGGGAGGAAGGGCTCTAATTAGAGTGACTCTGAGAGCTGCTGTAATTAAAGCACCCAGAGCATCTTGTGTGTCAATGTCCCCACACTGAAAAATGGTGGTTGGTGGTTGCTCATTGAACAAGCTTTAGTTAAAGCACTCCTGCTGCCATTTTTCAGCATGGGGATGCTGATACATGAGACACTGGAGTCTGCTGGTGTGTGGTAATTACTTGCTGCTCGTGTACAGGCACCCTGAGACTCCGCAGAACTCAGCCAGTGGAAATGTTCTGAGTTATTGCAGAAGGCAGCACTTGGTCTCCAGGCTGCCCCTGCAACACGCTGTCTGATACCAGGCAAGGCTATGCCACTTGGCATCCCAGAATTTCAAGGAGCTATGAAACCACACAGTTGGGCCTAGTGCTGTATTGCAAAGTAGTGCTGAGATGGGGGGAGTTGCCTGAGAGCTTTTACAACAAATAGTGACATAGTATACGGCATCACTGAACCTTAAGCAGTTATCAGGGACGTGTCTGCACCCTCTCTGTGCCATGCTCAGGAGCACCAATGTGAAATACTCCCTGTTTGCTCACTCCCACTGTGGACATGCCCCCTCTCAGACATGCAACAACTTACCTGCCTGGTAGCAAGTAGGAGAGTATGCCCGGTGCTGCTATCAGTCCGTCTGTCTCAGGCCTGCTTATTGGTATGCCCTCAGGGCTGCTCAAGGGGCCAGATTCTACTCCACCTATTAGGCACGCAAGTGGATAGGCCTCTAAAAGTAATTCTATTGCATCCTTCCTGAGTCCCTGAAAGACATGTTACTACAAGTGGAGTCCCACGTGCTCCTGTCCTGGGTTCACTGCTGCTTTTAAGGATAAGTTGGAAAAACACTTGTCTAGGCTGGTTTAGATAGGGATTGTCATGCCTCAAGCAAGGGGATGGACCAGATGACTGTCTGAAGTCCCTTCCAGCCCTACTTTCTATGACTCTAGGTCAGTCTCTGCTGCTCCTGTGCAAACCTCAGAGAGGTCCCTGCCTCACAGCCCAAGTGTTCCCAATCCTGTTGTTCTCAAGGAGGTCCCACCTAACTGTCATGTTGTACAATACCTGCCCTACATGAGATGGAGTCAGTCCTCCTAATAGAGCAAGGGGGTCTGGATGGAAAGACATAGGAGGCTAGGTGAGGCTCTGAGGCTACTCTGTGCCCCTAGTCAAGCCTGACTGTGATTTCACTTATTGCACTTTTACCCTGACTAACACTTTCCACACCCAAACCACTCTCACATGTGGGAGATCACAATCCTGCCAATGAGCTGATTCTAAATAGTGTGCATGTCTCCTGTTTTCTGGCAGTTGAAAAAAATACCCATAGTGAAGAGGACTGAGGTTGACCCAGAGAAGGTCACCATCTACTTGGAGGAGGTAAGTGCAGTGCAAGGCTCCATCTGACCATGGAAGGGCAAGGGTATGTGCATGGATAGGTCTAGAATTTTGGAAAGGGGGGTGCAGATGGTGAGATGCATCATCACAAATAAAACAACACATCTTTTTCTCTATTTAAAAATAAACTAGAAGTTTTATGTTAGGGGTCTACGGCTGTACTTTTCAGTTTTAAATTGAAGCAAAATAAATATAACTTCACTGGAATGAGTTGAAGACAATATGCAGGCTGTGAAATAGCAGCTCACAGATAGCAGAATTTCAGAACAAAGGGTAGCTTGATTGATGGAACGTCAAGATTATTAAAAAGAGGAGAGGGTCATTAACACCCAGGGAATGAACAGTTTAGAAGGGATCAGGTAGATTATAATTATCCATGAAGTCAGTTGACTCCCCCACTGTTGCCTGAATAGTAAAATTGCTGCCACTCCCAGGCAGTTGGTTTTAAACTTAGGGTGGACCAGGAATCAAACTGCACCAATACATCTCCCCCTGACCCCCCTCAATCCACCCCTGGTCTACTTACAGAAAGAAGAAGTCCAAGGGTTGGGGAAGGAAGCTAGGGTTGAAGAAGAGAAAGAAGGGTGCTAGGGGGACCTGAGACCACAGTAAAAAAAGAATTCCCCAGTTGGGAGATAAAGCTGGAAGTAGGGTGAACTGGAGAGGGAGCATCCTTCCTTCCTGTTCCCTTCCATCTTTCTCCACAGCTGGATAAGACTCTGCAAAACTTCACTGTCTCAGTGGAACAAGAGATTGAAGTGCAACATCTGAAACCGGCAACAGTGCATGTCTATGACTACTACCAGCCAGGTGAGACTTTGTTGACAGAGGGGAAAAGTCACCATCATTCCCTTTCCTCTCCCACAGACAGCTCTGCTGGTGCCCCTCTCTGGTCTGGCAGGCGCCATGGTTATCCTAGTCCTGGACTCCCCACACAACTTCGCCAGTGCCTTTCACTCCTGTCCTGTGGCCCTTTACTATCCCAGCCTTGGGTTCCCTACATACAGCCACGGGGGTTTATCTTGCACAGTACTTTTCTAGACCTGGGCCTCTCAAGAGTGGAGGCTGCCTGTCACTACTGTGGCTTTGTGGTGTGGGTGTTACGTCATTGCATTTTGACTCTCCTAGCTCTGATCCCTAGTCCCCTGGCAATATACTGGTATCTCCAGCCCCTGTGGTCTTCTGGAAATGTTTACGCTTTTGTTTCATGAGGTTGAAAATTGTGTTTTACTCTGAGTCCTACACTTAAGGGGACCCTTCCCTACTGCCAATCCTGACTGATCAGGGGGAAGAACTTCATGATATGGAGTCACTCTAGCATCCACTGGCTGCTCTTTTTTCCCAGTGGAGGCTAGGGACATGCCTGGTTTCCACCTTAAAGTATAAAGAGAATATGGCAAGGAGGCAAGGTCCCCATGGATTCTTGTGCTGAAGGGAAGGGATCTTAGGGCTCTGTAATTACTTTCCTAATCTACCTCTCACCGCAAACTTTCCTCTCTCTTGCAGGTGATCATGCCACTGCAGAATACAATGCCCCCTGCAGCTCAGGTATGTAAGGCTGTGCCCTTGAGGAGGCAGAACTCAAGTAGTTAGTGCAGGGGGGTAGAAGTCGGGACAGATTTGTACTATTCCTTCGTCTGCCAAGGACAAATCAATTCACCTCTTTGCACCTGGGTTTACCTAAACAAGCCGGGCCCTGGAGGGGAGAAGCTTTGTATGTAACCACACCACATCCTGTAACTATATAATCCTCTCTGATCCTCAGGCTGGGTAAGAAACAGTGTCAGTGAGGCTAACTGTTCTGTTTCCAAGCTCCCTGAGACCTGGACCAGATCGTGCTAACGTATTTGACCTGATGTCTAAGTAACATATTTGAATGTGTTAAAGATAAAAAACTCAAGAACAGGCTTCCATCACATCTGTGTAATCTTCACACTCGGCCAAAGGTGCATGGGGGTGGACCCGGTGACACAGATGTGAACAAAGTGACTTGGATCTCTTTCCCTGAGCCATGTTCACCCTTTAGATTTCTTAGTGGAAGTTCATTAAGCTTTTTGTGTCTTGTTCTTTCTACAGAGATCAAGAAAGAGGATTGCTACTAGAGCTTCTTAGCTGTAGACCCTGAATTCACAGTGCAAATGTGGAAGAACATCACAACTACTGTGGCTTTTCTGTCAAGCACCACTCATTTCTGGTTCCTTTAGCTTTCACTCCTTCCTTCAACCCATGTCTGTCTCTTCTGTGGAAAACCCAGGTAGACCTGAAGATACCTGACAGGTCAGGGGCCTAGGAGAGGGATGGAAAGGCCACTAGATTTCAGACCCAGGTGGAATTCAGTGGCTGAAGCAGCAAGAGAAAAATAGAAGGAAAAAGAAAGGGAGAAACATGGTCCCCCTGAGATGCCTTGGGAGTGCTATGGTCTCTTCCTTGCCTTGGTTTTGTTCTTTGACTAGGATTTCTTTAAGAATCAAGGAAAGGCCTTCAGCTTTGCAGAGCTCAGATTTGGGTCCCAGCTACCTCAGAACAAAGCGGAGGTTGAGCTCCAGGCTTTGGTTTCCATTCTTACTTGATGAAAAATAAAACAACTATACTGGATTAGAGGCTGGTGTCTCATGCATTTCTGGTAAAGGCTGCCTCCCCACATCACCTCGGTATGGTAGCATTCCACCTTCCTCAGGTCAATCCTGTCCCAGCTTCATGTTTTAAGATATAGCACTAATGAATGCTTCTGCTTTGGCTGCCTTGGGCAGAGATGGATTTACTTTTTCCCCCTGAATAGTTTGAGCCAGGGCAACACCAGATCAAGGTTCCTGCACACCCAGGCACTCACATACACATTAGACTCACCACTAGTATTTTTCACCTGTCTGTGGAACAAAAGCCTCTGGACCAGCAGGAGAGTTCAATGTCTATTGTCTTTTCTATCCTTTACCTCCAGAATGAGGGCAGTAACACGAGGGCAGACAGTCTGATGTGTGTTCTAGTGATAATTTACCCCATTAGGAAATGAGTTGAGCCGGTGAGCTAATTACTGATGGGACACCGAAAAGTAAGCAGAGTGAAGTCACAGTCAGCTGCTATTGACCTGGGTTGGAGACAGACTGCTGCTTGTGGGAAGAACTATGAGATAAAGTATGAACTATGAGGAGGGGGCTAGAAAAGGTGCCCTAAATATAGCCTTTCTCACTTCATCTGAGTGGAAAACTGTATCCAGTGAGATCACTCCATCTATGTCATAGTTTCATAGTTGGTAGGGTTGGAAGGGACCTGAGCAGGTCATCAAGTGTGAACCCCTGCCATGGGTAGGAAAGGATGCTGGGGTCAAACGATCCCGGCTAGGTGATTGTCTAGCCTCCTTCTGAAGATCCCCAGGGTAGGAGTGAGCACCACTTCCCTAGGAAGTTGGTTCTAGCGCCTAGCCACCCTGACTGTGAAATAGTGCCTTCGGATGTCTAGTCTGAATCTTCTCATAGTCAACTTATGGCCGTTATTCCTTGTAACTCCTGGTAATGCTCGGGGGAACAGGGACTCTCCCATTTCCTGCTGGCCCCCCTTGGCCAGTTTGTAGGCGGCCACCAGATCCCCTCTCAGCCTTCTTTTGTGGAGGCTGAACAGGTTCAAGTCCCATAGCCTCTGCTCATAGGGCCTGCTTTGCTGCCCCCTAATGAAAGTGGCCCTCCTCTGGACTCTCTTGATGCTGTCCACATCCCTCCTGAAGTGCGGCACCCAGAACTGGATGCAGTACTCCAGCTGCGGCCTGAACAATGTTGCACAGAGGGGGAGGATCACCTCGGACCTGCTCGTAATGCATCTATGGATGCATGACAAGGTGTGGTAAGCCTTCCTCACTGTGTCCCCACATTGGCGGACCGTGTTCATCTTGGAATCAATAGTGACTACAAGATCCTTTTCTGCCTCTGTGCTGATGAGAGGGGAGTTCCCAGGCCTGTAGGTGTGCTGCTGGTTCTTCCTCCCCAGGTGCAGTACCTTGCACTTGTCCGTATTGAAACCCATCCTATTCTCATCCGCCCACCTGTGTAACCTTTCCAGACCTAGTTGTAGCCTGTCCCTCTCTTCTAGCATGCTCACTTCTTGCCACATCTTAGTGTCATCTGCAAACTTGAACAAAGTGCTTTTCACCCCCTCATCCAAATTGCCGATGAAGATATTGAACAGTGCGGGCTGGAGGGCCGAGCCCTGGGGGACCCCACTGCCCACATCCCTCCAGGTCGAAAATGACCTATCCACCACCACTCCCTGGGTGCGGCCCTCCAGCCAATTTGCGACCCATCTGACTGTGCAGGTGTTGACATGAGTCACCTAATTTTTTAATGAGGGTGGGGTGAGAGAGCGTCGAAGGCCTTCCTGAAGTCCAGGAAGACTACGTCCACTGCGACACCTGCGTCCAAGGCTTTTGGGACCTTGTCATAGAAGGCCACCAGGTTGGTCTGACAGGACCTGCTTCTAATGAACCTATGCTGACTGCCCCTAAGCATAGTCTCCCCTGCTGGTCCCTTGCAGATATCCTCCTGGATAATTTCCTCAAAGAGCTTCCCCAGGACCGAGGTAAGACTAATGGACCTATAGT